GTTGGTTTCTCCCCGTCTTTGTGGATTTATCTACCTTTGGTCTTTGAAGTCAGTGACCTATGGATGGGGTCTCTGAGTGTATGTCCTTTTTGTTGATGTTTATGCTTAGTTTTTCTTCTAACAGTCAGGTCCCTCTGCTTCAGGTCTGCTGGAGTTTGCTGGAGGTCCACTCCAGACCCTGTTTGCCTGGGTATCACCGGCAGAAGCTGCACAACATCGAAGATTGCTTATGAGGTGTCTATTGGGCCCTACTTGGAGGTGTCTCCCAGTCAGGATACATGGGGGTCAGGGAGCCACTTTAGGAAGCAGTCTGTACTTTATCAGAGCTCAAACGTTGTGCTGGGATATCCGCTGCTGTCTTCAGAGCTGCAACACAGGGACATTTAAGTCTGTTGAAACTGTGTCCACTACTGCCCCTTCTCCCAGATGCTCTGTCCCAGGCAGGTGGGGCTTTATTTATAAGTCCCTGACAGGAGCTGCTGCCTTTTTTCAGAGATGCACTCAGTTGGAAATGTGAAATCACCTGCCTTCTACATTGATTTATCTGGGAGCTGCACACCAGAGCTGTTGCTATTTGGCCACCTTGGGAGATTCTCCTGGTTTCCATAGTCTTTAAGCACATTTGTAATTATTTGAGTTGCTGTTGTTCTACATGTAATATCTCTATTTTTTCTGACTACTTACCAAACTCTTAGTTTTTGGTTTCCAGAGTTTAATTATGATGTGTCTGGGAATAATGTTTTTTAGTTTATCCCATCTCAGGTATGATGAATATTTTCAGTCTGTAAATCTAGATCTTTTACCAAATTTGGGAAGTTTTTTGCCATTATGTCTTCAAATGTTTTTTGTGTACCAATTATTTTCTCCTTTCCTTCTGCAACTCCAGTGACCCAAATGTGAAACCTTTTGCTATTGTCCCACAGAGGCATAATTGACATTAATTGGCTGTTCATTTTTTTTCCGGTCTTATTTTTTTCTCTTTGTGCTTCACACTGGGTCATTTATGTTGATCCAGTAGATTCAAGTTCACTGACTTTTTTCCATTCTTCTATTGAGTCTATCCAATATTTCACATACTGTGTTTTTCTGTCTCTAAAATTTGGATCTGTATTTATTTTATATAATTTTTATTTTTGTGCTGAGAACTTCTGTATTTTCTTTCACTTCAATTGTGTCTACCTTTGCCTCATGGATATAGTATTAATCTCTGCTTTAAAGGTTTTGCCTGTTAATTCAACATCTGGGTCACTTTGGAATTAGGATCTGTTTATTATCTTTACTCTTCAAAATTGGTCACATCTTCCTGGTTTCTTTTGTGTCAACTAATTTTAAGTTGTATCCTAGAGTGTTTTTTTTGAGATGGAGCCTCCCACTCTGTAACCAGACTGGAGTGCAGTGGTGTGATCTTGGCTCACTGCAACCTCTGCTTCCTGAGTTCAAATGATTCATGTGTCTCAGCCTCCCCAGTAGTTGGGATTATAGGTGTCCACCACCATGCCAGCTATTTTTATTTTTTTTTATTTTTAGTGGAGACAGGGTTTTGCCGTATTGGCCAGACTGGTCTTGAACTCCTGACCTCAAGTGATCCACCCACCTTGGCATCCCAAAGTGCTGGGATTATAGGCATGAGCCACCGCGCCTGGCTAACATTTTAAATATTATATTGTGAGACTCTGGTTTCTGTTAAAATCTTCTGAAGAATATTGTATCTTTTGTTTGTCTGTTCTAGCAGGTAGTCAACCTGGTTAAATTCCAACTGTAAGTGATCTCTCCTGTGCACAGTGGCTCTAATGTTAGTTTTCAAAGTTTTCATTATATTTCTGTAGGCCTGTCCCATGCATGCTCAGTACAGGGGTGATTCTGAGGTATGTGCCAGTTTACGCACAGAATTAAGGGGGTCTACTTTCTAGCACACCTCTGTTTGGGTTATCCCCTATACTCTCCAGATCCCAGGAGCTACATTTGCCAGAAGTCTTAGTTACAATCGAGGAGGGAGGGAGGGAGGGGGAGAGAGAGAGAGAGAGAGAGAGAGAGAGAGAGAGAGAGAGAGAGAGAATAACCAAAAATTTTAGAGATGTTTCTCGTTAACATTTTGCTTTATACATTTTCAGACTTTTAGAGTCATAAAAAAATAACTTTAAAAATAATAATAGCTTTATTGATATAGAAACACGGAATCAGCAAATACTGAATTTTGGCTCCAAGGGGAGAAACTGGGGTAGGTTCCTGCAAGCCCCTGGTTACACCATTTTTATCAACTAATCAATATATAACCTTATTTTTAATATATTTCTCTTTAAAACACCTTTTTAAATATATATATGGTTGATCTGTTAACATGAAATCATAGCAAACAACACTGTAACTCATGCTGGAATGAAGCTTATCTAACATACATATTTTTTCCATAAGGCACACCACTGCCTTTTTGTGCTTAGGAATAATAGACAGTACTTCAGCTATGCATGGGGACCATTTTTAACAGTGAAATCACCAACACAGAAAACAAAAATGCAGAAAAACTTGACAATAAATAGACTGCAAAAAGGACATTTATTTACAGTATGAGAGCTGAAACAAAAAGGCAGAGTATCACCTTGTTCAGCCTTAGTTGGCAGCATGCATATTGGGTGACTCAAATTTTTCACAGCTCAGTGCATGTCTGCAAAGGACTGCAAAAACACCTTGAGTATTGGGATTACACATAAATTTCAGTGAATAGGCAAATATGTAATATGAAAATGATGAATGTAATTCACATACATACAATTAGCCTATTTAAAAACAGTGTTTTTAATATTTACGGGGTTGTGTAAAAATCACAGGTTGTGTTTGTGGTATTAACCACAATCAATCTGAGAACATTTCATCACCTCCAAAAGTCTGTACCACTTTCTTTTCCCCTTAGCCCCACCTCCAGTCCTAGTCAGCCACTAAGCTATTTTCTATATTTACAGATTTGCCTATTCTGGATATTCTGTATAAAGGGGATCGTGAAATAAGTGGCTTTTTGTGACTGGCTTCTTTTACTTAGCATACATTTTAAAATCCACTGATGTTGTAGCATATAGCCGTACTTTGCTCCTATCATTGCTGAAAAATATTTCGTTTTGTGCATATTGCACATTTATCAATTGATGGAAGTTTGGCTTATTTCTTCTTGGCTATTATGAATAATACTGCTGTGAACATTTGTGTACAAATCTTTTTGGGGGCATATTTTTCACTTCTCTTGGGCATATACCTCATAGTGGAATTGCTGGAATGTATGATAACTCTGTGCTTAACCTTTTGAGGACCTGTCAAACTGATTTCCAAAGTGACCGCACCATTTTTCATTCCCACCAGCAGTATACGAGGGCTCAAATTTTTCCATATCATCACCAACACTTGTTATTTGTATTTTTAATTATTGCCATCCAAGTGGATGTGAAGTAGCATCTCACTGTACTTTTTATTTGTGTTTTTTCTGATAGCTTATGATGTTGAACACCTTTTCATGTGCTTACTGACCATTTGTGTATCTTGTTTAGAGAACTGTTAGATCCTTTGCCCATTTTGTAATTGAGTTATTTGTGTTATGATTATTGAGTATGAGAGTTCATAATATGTTCCAGATACCAAGTTCCTTATCAGATACCTATGATTTGCAAATGTTCTCCTGTTCTGTGTGTTGTCATTTACATTCTTGATGGTTTTCTCTGAAGCACAAAAGTTTTTAATTTTGATAAAGTCCAATTTGTCTACTTTTTCTTTCATGGTTTGTGCTTTTACTATCATATCTAACAACCTAAATTTGTTGATCGAATTGGGGAATGCTGCCATCTTAACAGTATTAGGTATTCCAGTCCATAAACATGGGATGTCTTTCCATTATATGGGTCATCTTTCATTTTGTTAAAACAATGTTTTGTATGTTTCCGAGTATAAAATTTACACTTCCTCTGTTAAATTTCTAAGTGTTTTATTCTTTTTGAAGATATTGTAAATGTAAATTTTTTCTTAATTTTGTTTCTAGATTGTTCATCACAAGTCTAGAAATACAGGCCAGGTGCAGTGGCTCACGCCTGTAATCCCTGCACTTTGGGAGTCTGAGGCAAGCCGATCACCTGAGGTCAGGAGTTCGAGACCAGCCTGGCCAACATGGTGAAACCCTGTCTCTACTAAAAATACAAAAAATTATCTGGGCATGGTGGCAGGTGCCTGTAATCCCAGCTACTTGGGAAGCTGAGGCAGGAGAATTGCTTGAACTTGGGAGGTGGAGGTTTCAGTGAGCTGAGATCTTGCCATTGCCCTCCAGCCTGCACAAGAAGAGCAAAATGCCATCTCAAAAAAAAAGTATAGAAATACAATTGACTTTTATATATTGATTATGTGTTCTGAAACCTTGAAAGATAAATGACTTTTAAACTAAAGGGATGAAATAATTTTAAGCTTTTTATTTCTCAAAGTTGGAGATCATTATTTGACCCATATAATGTTCAAGTAGATATACCAAGTTATGTTATAATCCTGTCCCAGTAAATATGGGTGGAAATTAGCCTGTTTCCTCTATACCATGCCAGTGGATTGATATAATATTTTCTCTGGACTCATGCCCACTAAAAGGGTTGTATAAATTCAAGGTGATTATATATAGAATTGAAATATTAAGGAATCTGACTATATATCCTAGATTCTAATCCAAGCACACTCATGACAGTGATTTCAAGTGAACACTTTAAAAGAACTTTCATTTTGAACATTAAAAAATTTTTTTGTTTATTCATGTTTTTGACCTGAACCTTTTTTTTGATTTATTATTTTGTGTTTGGTTAATTCCTTCTGAAAGAGCTTCCTTTCATTTTTTTTATTTCTTTCTTTACATTTGCTTTTTTTTTGTTTGTTTGTTTATCTGATTGAGCTCAAGTTTGTTTGCAGAAGAATAGATAAAAATGTCAAAATGGTTCATGGGTAGCTTTGGTAATTTTGTCACTTTGTGTGACTAAACCTTCCAACAGACTTATTATCAATCAGGATCGAGCACTGAATTCCAGTCATCACTGGCATGTCAGTCTGGCATAGATAAAGAAGAAGATAAGAAAGAGGTATGTAATGATACTGCTTTTGGACGCCAATATTTCTACTGTGATAGTATTAATATAAGAAATTGGAAGCAGCTTATTGTGTCCTAACACATAAAAAGCTAACACCACAAATTTTATAAATAAAAGAAGACAAGTTGCTTGAATCATTATAATGTGTTGAGTTTCTTTTCCAAGATCCTAGGAGTTAGGGTACATTGTTGTGAAATCAATTATTTGTTACTAATAAATTTCTCCAGCTGGTGTATATTTGCCACTGTAACTTATTTAAAGGAAGATAATTACTTTATGGCTTTTTTTTTTTTTTCTTTTCAGTATAAAGTTTGTTTAAACCAATAGATCTTAACCCTGGCCATGCACCAGAATCAGATGGGGAGCTTTGTTCAAAATACAAATATGCCTAGATCTGAACAAGAAGTACCAAATCAGTATCTGAAAACAGAGGTTTAGGGCATTTGTGTTTTTTAAAAATACCACTGGTGATTTTGATGCAGCCTCACTATTGAGGTACTATTTAGACCTTCGATAATTTTTACCAAAAAGCCCTGTACTACTCTGGTATATACATAGACATGCTTTTTGCTCATTGAATGGCTTGTGTATTTAAAAGAGTATATATAAATCCAGAAGTAAGAACAGATCACAGAGTCTAGTAGCATGTGCTTTTTTTTTTGAGACGGAGGCCAGTCATGCAATCTAGGCTCACTAAAACCTCCACCTCCTGGGTTCTAGCGATTCTACTGCCTCAGCCGCCTGAGTAGCTGGGACTACAGGCATGCACCACCACGCCCAGCTAATTTTTGTATTTTTTGGTAGAGATGGGTTTCACCATATTGTCCAGGATAGTCTCGATCTCTTGACCTAGTGATCTGTCTGCCTCTGCCTCCCAAAGTGCTGGGATTATAGGCCTGAGCCACTGTGCCTGGCCGCACTTGCTTTTATTGTACTTGTTTTGTTTATGAATCTGAGGTTTTAGTATACCTCAGCCCTTCTACCCTCCATGCCATGTTAGGCTAGGCTTCAAGTATGCTTTTGTGGTGCTTTTCTTGTTGTTGTTTTAATGAGATGGAGTTTCACCCTTGTTGACCAAGATGGAATCCAATGGTGCAATCTTGGCTCACAGCAACCTCTACCTCCTGGGTTCAAATGATTCTCCTGCCTCAGCCTCCCAAGTAGCTGGGATTACAGGCGTATGCCACGACGCCTGGCTAATTTTTTTGTATTTTCAGTAGAAATGGGGTTTCACCATGTTGGCCAGGCTGGTCTCAAACTCCTGACCTCAGGTGATCTGCCCTCCTTGGCCTCCCAAACTGCTGGGATTACAGGTATGAGCCACCATGCCAGGCCTGTGATACTGTTTTAATTTTGAAAAGTTAAAGTAACTGTTAGTTCTGTTATAAAATACCTTTTACATTCTTTCTGTGGCTCTGCTTTTATGGTACTTACTACTTGGGAACACAGAGTAAATGCAGTATATATCTTATCATATCAAATATCACTTCCTCAAGTACTATGGACGGGGCTATACTAAAGGCAAACTAAATTAGTACTTCTTTCTTTGGTTTGCCTATTAACATGTAAATAGCTATGTGCTTGAAAATATAAAATTCTTGTGTATGTGACATCCTGAGTTACCATAGACAGAAGGAAATCACAAGTAATTTCTATGTATCTATTTTTGTTGCTTGTTTTTGTTTCTGTCTATGGCATAAAAATATTTTTTGTCCTCTGAAAGCAGAATCTTAGTAATTTTAACTTCTTTCCCTTAGCGTCAAAAGCAGTACCTGAGACATAGACGACTTTTCATGGATATTGAGAGAGAACAAGTAAAAGAACAACAAAGGCAAAAAGTACAAAAGATGAAAATTGAAAAGTAAGTTATTCGATCTGCCCTGTGAGCCTTAAATTGCCAATTAGGATGTTTTTGGAAGACAAACTTTAGAAAAAGGTAACAGTTTTGCCTTCTGATCTGAAAACAGCTGTTTTTTATCTGGGTAAAGTATTGGAAGATGATAAACAGCTATGGTTTGGTTTTTTGGTTTGATTTTCTAATAGACTTGATTTTTTAGGGCACTTTTAGGCTCACAGCAAAACTAAGCACAAAGTACACAGAGTATACTTTGTGTCCCACAAATGCATAGCCTCTTCTCCTACCATCACTATCCTGCACCATACTCATACAATTTGTTAGAACTGATGAACCAACACTGACACATTATTATTACCCAAAGTCCATAGTTGACATCAGGGTTCACCTTTGGTGTTAGGCATTCTATGGGTTTTGACAAATACATAATGTCATATGTCTACCATTATGGTATTATACAGAGTAGTTTGACTGCCCTAAAATCCTCTCTCTGCCTATTCCTCCCTCTTTAAACCCTATCTTGTGGGAACCACTGAACTCTCTACTGTCTCCATGGTTTCACCTTTTCTAGAAAGACATATAATTGGAATCATACAGTATGCATGTAACCTTTTCAGATTGGCTTTCTGTACTTAGAAAAAAATGCATCTACCTTTCCTCCAGTGCTTTTTAATGGCTTGATATCTCATTTATTTTTAGCACTGAATAATATCCCATTATCTAGATGTATCACAGTTTAGTTATTCATTCACCTACTGAGGGACATATTGTTTGCTGCCAATATTTGGCAATTATGAATAAAGCTACTTTAAAACTGATGTACAAGTTTTTGTGAAGGCATACATTTTTAGCTCCTTTGAGTAAATAACAAGGAGTACAATTGCTGGATCATATGGTAAAAATACATTTAGCTTTATAAGACACTACCAACTTTCTTTCAAAGTGGCTATACCATTTTGCATTCCCACCAGCAAGGGATGAGAGTTCCTGTTGCTCCACATCCTTGCCGCCATTTGGTGGTGTCAGTATTTTGGACATTCTGGTAGGTGTGTAGTAGAATATCATTGTTTAAATGTTCACTTCCCCAATGACATATAATATGGAGCACCTTTTCATATGGTTATTTGTTACTTGTATATCTTCTTTGGTGATGTGTCTGTTCATGTATTTTGCCCATTTTTTTTGTCATTTGTTTTTCTTATTGTTGAATTTTAAGAGTTTTTGTATATTTTGAATAACAGTTATTTATCAGTCTTTCATAAACATTGTTTCCCCAGTCTATAGCATGTCTTCTCATCTGTTGACAGTATCTTTTGCAGAGCAAAACAAAGTTCACCTTATCAGTCCTTTCTTTCATGGGTTGAGCCTTTGGTGTTATATATTTTAAAAAGTCACTGCCATACCCAAAGTTACTTAGATTTTTTTTTCCTGTGTTATCTTCTAGGAGTTTTATAGTTTTGCATTTTAAATTTTTCTCTATGATCCATTTTGTTAATTTTTGTGAGAGGTGTAAGGTCTGTGTTTAGAGTCATTCTTTTTGCATGTGAATGTCCAGTTGTTCCAGCACCATGTGTTGAAAAGACCATCTTTTATTAATCATATTGCCTTTGCTCTTTTGTTAAAAATCATTTGACTGCATTTGTGTGGTTCTGTGTTTTGGACTCTCTATTCTTTTCAATTTATCTATTTGTCTATTCTTTTGCCATACCACACTGTCTTGATTACTGTAGCTTTACTTATGTATCTTATTGATACATAATAATTGTACATATTTATAGGACACATGTAATATTTTGATGCCATGCAATATGTATGATCAAATGTATGATGTATCATGATCAAATCAGAGTAATTAGGATATCTGTCCTCTCAAACATTTATGATTTCTTTGGGGAACATTTCAAATCTTCTAGCTATATATACAATAAATTATTGTTAACTAGAGTCACCCTACTGTGCTACCAATAAGTAGAATTTATTCTGCTTATCTAACTTTATATCCTCCATTCTCACCCTCTGGTAACTATCATTGTACTTTCTACCTCTATGGGATCAGCTTTTTTAGTTCCCACATATGAGTAGGAACATGTGATGTTTGTCTTTCTGTACCTGGCTTATTTAACATGACTTCCAGTTTCATCTGTGTTGCAGCAAATTACAGGATTTCATTCTTTTTTATGGCCAAATAGTATTCCATTGTGTATATATACACCACATTTTCTTGGTGTTCATCTGTTGATGGATACTTAGGTTGATGCAGTATCTTGACAATTTTGAATGGTGCTGCAGTAAACATGGGGGTACAGGTATCCCCTTGATACACTGACTTCTTTTGCTTTGAATAAATACCCAATAGTGCAGTTGCTGGATCATCTGAAGTTCTGTTTTTCATTTTTTTTTTTTTTAGAAATCTCCATACTGTTTTCCATAATTTCTATACTAATTTACATTCCTACCAATAGTCCATGAGTTCTCTTTTCTCTACATCCTCACTAATTTACATTCCCACCAATAGTGTCTGAGTTCCCTTTTCTTTACATCCTCAGCTTTTATTACTTTTTGTTGTTTTGATAATTGCCATTCTAACTGGGGTGAGATACTATCTCATTGTGGGTAGGGAGGGTTGATCCCTAGGCCCCTGGATGACAAACATGAGTGCCTGCAGTGGTGGCAGTGGGTAAGGCAGGCCTGTCCTCAGGCCCTTCGGTTCTATACCTGGTTGCTGGTGACAGTGGGTGTGGTATGTATGTAGCTTTATAATAAGTCTCAAAGTCAGGTAATTTCAGTCTTTCAGTTTTGTTCTTCTTTAATGTTGTATTGGCTTTGCCTCTCTACGTAAACTTTAGAATAAGTTTGTCAATATCCGCAAAATAACATGAGATTTTTATTGAGATTGCAGTTAATGTATATATCAGGGTTGGGAAGAACTTGACATCTTGACAATATTTAGTCTTTCTGTCCATGACCATAGGTTATCTCTCCATTTTATTTAGTTGTCCTTTGATTTCTTTCATCAATGTTTTGTTGTTTTTGCTCATATAGATCTTGTATATATTTTGTTAGACTTAGATGCATTTCATTTTGGAACTACATATAAATGGTGGCATGCTTTTAATTTTAAACTCCACCTGTTCATTGCTGGTGTATAGGAAAATGATTGACTTTTGTACATTAAACTTATATCCTTCAGCCCTGCTGTAATCACTTATTAGTTACAGTAGCTTATTTGGTGATTCTTTTGTTATATGATCATGTCACCTGTTAACAAAGATAGTTTTATTTCTTCTTTCCCAATATGTATGCCTTTTATTTCATTTCCTTGGCTTATTTCATTAGCTAGGACTTTCAGTATGATATTAAAAAGGAGTAGTGAGAGGGTACCTCTCACTTTGCCTTGTTTCTGATTCTAGCAGGTAAACTTATAGTTTCTTACTGTTAAGTGTGATGTTAGCTGTAAATTTTTTGTCAATGGGCTTTATCAAGTTGAACAAGTTCTCCATCAGTTGCATTTTTTAATCTATGGGTCATTACTGTGCCTTTTAGAGCTGAACCCCAGTTGTTTTAAAAAGCTTCTTTGTACCTACTGATTTCTAAAGAATACATAAAACGTTATAATGAAATCTAATATGAAGATTTACTTCATCAGATGTTATTGACATCCTATGGATAAGGCACTAAACAAAGTGCTAATATGTGAAATTGTTTGAAATTTGTGAAGTGCTGTAAAATATAAGGCAACAACACTTTTATTTTGAAATATTGTATATAATACTATAACAAAATTGCTACAGTTAACTGTAAAGTGCTAGAGATGTGTTCAAATAGCATAATGAATCATCTTTGGAGTTTTTTGGTTTTGTTTTTTATAATTTCAACTTCTGTTTTAGATTCAGGGGTACACATGCAGGTTTGTTACATGGGTTTATTGCGTGATGCTAAAGTTTGTGGTACAAATGATCCTGTCACTCAATAAGTATAGTACCCAATAAGTAGTTTTTCAGCCCTTGCCCCACCTTCTCCCCCGCCCCATACTAGTCGTCAGTGTTTATTGTTTTCGTTTTTGTGTCTATGTGTACCCAAAGTTTAGCTCCCACTTACAAGTGAGAACATGGAGTATTTGGTTTTCTGTTTCTGTGTTAATTCACTTACGATAATGGCCTTCAGCTACATACATGTTGCTGTAAAGGGCATGATTTCATTCTTTTATATGATTGCATAGTATTTCATGGTGTATAATACCACATTTTCTCTATCTACTTCAACATTGATATACACCTAGGTTGATTCTCTGTCTTTGGTGTTGTGAATGGTGCTGCAATGAACATATGAATGCATGTGTCTTTTTGGTGGAGGGATTCATTGTACCCAGTAATGAGATTGCTGGGTCAAATCGTAGTTCTGTTTTAAGTTCTTTTAGAAATCTCCAAACTGCTTCTTTCCACAGTGGCTGAACTAATTTACATTTTCACCAACAATGAATAAGCATTCCCTTTTCTCTGTAGCCTTGCAATTATCTGTTATTTTTTTGACTTTTCTTTTTTTGAAAGAAAGAGAAAGAGAAAGGGGGAGAGAGAATAGGAGTCTTGCTCTATTGCCCAGGCTGGAATGCAGTCCAAAAATAGGTATCAAAAACCTCCTTTATGCTGATAATTGTGCTTAACAGCGGAGACAGGAAGGAATAAGGGAAGAAAATAACAAACAAACAGCCATTTCATTTAAGTCTGTGAAATGCTACGCAAATGCTGAAGAGTGATTTACTTCTAATTACATGGTCACTTTCAAAATAGGTGTAATGTGATACTGAGAAAAATGCATGTTCTGTTGACCTGGGGTGAAGAATTCTATAAATATTCACTGAGTTTACTTGTTCCAGGTCTGAGTTCAAATCATAGATGTCCCTGTTAATTTTCTATCTCGTTGATCCGTTGAATATTAACAATGTGGTGTCAAAGTCTCCCGCTATTATTGTACGGGAGTCCAAGTCTCTTTATAAGTCATTAAGAACT